AGAGAGAGAGAGAGAGACAGTTAGTTATCAGAGAAAATGATCTAAGCAATGTTGGAATGAGGGTGACAGTTTGTCACAGGGAGATAAACAAAGATTGTGATCATCATTGCATCAACTGTGTGTGCATGCGTGTGTATCAGTCATTTATGTATACAAATTGCATTGTGTATGTTATTTTATTATGCATTTGCATGTGCTCATTTTATAACGATGTGTAGCGTGCACACATGATATGCAAGTAGGTGTGTGTGTGTATGTGTGTGCGCATGCGTGTGTGTGTATGTATGTGTGCGCGTGTGTGTGGCGAGCATACATATGTGCATGAACTGTGTGCACGTCTGTGTGTGTGTGTGTGTATGTGTGTGTGTATGTGTGTGTGTATGTGTGTGTGTATGTTTGTGTGTATGTTTGTGTATGTGTGTGTATGCGTGAGTATTGTTCGTACATGCATTTATGTAAAGCGCCTAGAGCTGTGTTTTAAACAGAAATGGGCACTATAAAAATGGTCTACATTATTATTATTATTATTATTATTTTTATTGTGTCCCCCGTGTTTGTATTCTCAGGCCAAGAGCCGTGGCAAGACGCTGGGCGGCTACTTTGAGTCATGGGTGGGCGGAGTCCAGTCGGAGAAGGGCGGGGCCAGCCTCAAGTTTGAGACCTCATTGGACGACACGAACCAGGTGGACATGCGGTGGCTGCGTCGCTTTGTGCTGCGAACCATGGAGATGCTCTACTTTGAGCAGAAGTGGGAGAAGCTGGTGGATATCGCGCTACGCTTCAGCGCTCTCACCAAGTGAGTGGGACACACTGACAGACACACTTACACACACACACTCACGCACACACACTCAAATGCTGCACTTCAGCACTCTCGCCAAGTGAGTGGGACACACTGATAGACACACTTACACACACACGTGTGCACACATGCACTCGTGCACGCACGCACGCACATGTGCACGCACGCACGCACATACACACACACACACACACACACACACACACACACACACACACACACACACACACACATTCACACACACATGCACGCACACACACTCACTCACACATACACATGCACTCACAAATACACACACACACACACACACACACAAATATGTGCACAGAGACACTGCGCTTTAGCCCTTTCACCAAGTGAGTGGAGTGGGTGGTTGGCAGATGCTCTAGTGTGTTTTGTTCCTTCTTTCCTGTCAAACATCTATCGTCCTTATCTCTCCTCCATCTTTTCTCTGCTATGTTACTCTCTAGTTATACCTCTAATCTTCGGCACCAATATGACTTATTTGTGTCCCAAGTATTGTAAAAGTCTTATCTAAACAAGTGGGTGTGATACACTGATAGACATACACACACAAACACACTCACACACACACATGCACACTCACACACACACACCCAAATGTCGCACTTCAGCAGCCTCACCACGTGTGTGGGTCACACTGACAGACATTTTGACAGACACACTTACACACAAACATTGATGCTTTCTAGTTGCACCTCTAACCTTCAGTATTTTATAGATCTATATGGTGTCCAGGAAAGTTGGAAAAAGGTTGGATTTCTATGGGTTTGTAGGAAAAGTGTCAAATGTTTATCGGAAGAGAGTACCCGAGGTCGGAGAAAGTCTTTCCGTTGACAAAAACATGTGTATTAATTTAGATCTTTGCATACCAATTCCGTGTACGGAACAATAGCACTGGTATGTAATTGTCACATAGAATTCTGTGGTATTTGTCCTCTTTCGTAAACGACGATACCGGTAATCAAAACTTTGTACTTTCAGTGCCTCAAGCATTTACGAATAAAGATATACGGAGTATCTGCGGCGTAAAACTCTTACTAAAACCTACCCTCCCCCCCCCTCCTTGTCTGTCCCCAGCCACCGGTACGCCGAGCAGGTTCTCCCCCTGATGGTCCAGGCCCAGCGTTTCCTGGAGCGTCGTGTGGAGAGGTCCGGGGGT